ACCTAAGACAATGAAGGCCACTTGAGTAACTTCGAAAGAGTGAAACATTAAAGGATGAAAACAAACTATTTGCCACAATAATTCACAAACGCTATATTCGTATCTTGTGACCTATACTAAAACTTACCATGTTAATTACACACTTAAAGCATCTCACTTGATTAAATTTGAAAAGGTTGAATTCTATTTTTTAAAAAAATAATAATTAAGAACTTGTTTAAACTCATATTTCTCCATCAAACCAAAGAGATATTTTATGATACCGATCTTCAAAAAAAACCACGTATGTATTAGTAGAATCCCAAACGTATTAGAATACGACTACGTGTATAACTTATCATGTTTTTGATAATAAGTAATTTAACTATTGTATTACGAATATTAGTGATATGACGAATACACTAATATTATAATTTTTCGAGCATGAAGCTCTATCATAATTATTGAGAAAGTCTAAAATTTCAAAGTAGTTCTAGAATCATCAATCAGAAAATCAGTATCCAAGAATGATTACATATCATCTTGATAAAACAAATAGTGACAAATAGCAAGTGCTATCAAAACGTTCATCCAATCATTACAATGTGAAAAATATATATTATTGTTATATATAAGTGAGGTATATGTGTTAACTGTTACAATCAAGCTTTCATCAGCTTATTGACATCATGTTAGTCAGAACAACCCATTAAGGATTGCTAATGAGAGTTCAAGTTTTGAAACTATAATTTTGTATTCATCTAGAAAACCTAGAATGATGGCTATGGTAATAGTCATGCCCCAAAATACGATTATGTAAAAAAAAAACGTCAAACGTAAAACAATTCGTTCCAGCTTGTATACAATGAAGCGTAATTGTGAAAGAAACATTCTAGACAAAGTCGTCTGAGAATGATATTAGAAGAAATTCAAAAAAAAAAATTGTAAATTACCCCACATTTTAGAAACGCAATCTATACTCCTACAACACAACAAGAGCAAGTCTAAGTATATTCGACGCAAGTCTCCGTGAAAGAACTTCAAACATTTTACTCCTATCATCCGCGTATGTCTTCTCTCAAAAATAAAATGTCATAATCAATGGAGAACATCTCATAATCATGACACTCAACAAAAAAATGATGAAAATAACTTTTCAAAATTTGTGTTTTAAAAAAAAAACAATGAATATTCAATATTTTGTACATCATCATTTTAAACGACCTCACCTAAGGAAATTTCGGGGACGAAATTTCTTTAAGGGGGGAAGAAATGTAACGCCACGAAATATGGCCTAAATTTTATTATAAAACAAAAGTAATTTTCGTCCAATAAGAAATATTTATAGGTTGACCAAAAATAAATGATTTTCAAAATAATGACTTTTTGTTAAAAACTTATTTTTATGGATATGTCTCAAAGAGACGAATCCAACGGTACAGTTTATGAACCAATCTCATTTATAGATTTCAAGTTATGTCGATTTTAAATATTAAAATTTGTAACTTTGACCCATAAAATAAACTCAATCCAAAGGTGATTTAATAAGATTATAAATCATAATTTTGACACTTGACAACACCATATTTATCATTTGGATTTAATCCATATATTTATATCTCAATCATATTATAAAATTAATTTATGACAGAGACAGACCCAGACATTAAGAAAAATAAAACTTATCAGAAAAATATTTTGATTACGTCAAAATTCTAGTTTCGACAGTCTCATTCCAAAAACACAATTCGTTTTCAATTCGGAGTAGCTTGGGCAAAAAAGCGCGTACCGTTTGGAGTAAACTGTTCAGTTTTGGCTAAAAGCCAAAACTTAACTCTCCAATATCTCCCCAAATCACGTAGCCAACCAAGGGATATCTCACAAGCCTATTTTTCAATCTCCTCCAACTCCATTAATACAAGCCTCTAAAATAATTATATAATACTCCACCACCATCTTCATCATTATACCTCATTATCATCTTCCACCACCACCACCACCATCATCTCATCTTTCCTCTCCCATTTTCTCTCTCTGTTGGTAGTCCAAGAAGGAGGAAAAACCAGCTCTAACTCCATTGTTGAGCCAAGAAAGGAGAAGGAGAAACAAGAAGAAGTATCAAGGTTTCCAAATCTTAAGCTCAAAAACGCAGCAGCCACTTTAAGGTAAAAACTGAAATTTTCCATTTATTATCTCGAAATACTTCTTGAACCAAAGTTGTAGCCCCGGACGATACGAATCCAGCCCAACAAACGGCTCGCGATTTCGTTAAGTAACGAAGAAGATATGGCCAAAATACCGGGACTACGCCAGTGGTGACGAGCTCCTCGGGTTGGCTATGTTTCCTCACCATATCCATGTTGTTTCATTCCAAACACTTACCATAAACTCTCTAACGATTATTAGGAACATCCGGAAGGTATCATAGAGAAGGTTCGGTGTTGGAATATTGAAGTTAGTGAGTTAATCGTCGGAATCATGTTCATCGACATACCCGAAATTCTGGACAGCAACTTTCTAGTGACTTCAGGTCCGATTTACGCTATCTTACATATGTTAAAACGAAATACTTTCTATACAAAATTTGTAGCCTTACATCTTAGGAATCCAAAGAATCAAACGGTTTGCAATTCCGTGAAGAAACGATGGAGATATGCCCAAATTACCGCAGGCTGTCCAAATGTGACGGAAATGACAAAGTTGGCAAATTTCGATGTTGTTTCCACTCCCGCTCATCCGTAAGGTTTCGGCCGATGATTTCCAGGTCTGTACCTTTGCGTTAGACTTGTCGAATCATTCATCACATACGTACATGAACATATATGTTAATCCATATGTTGAAATCATCCCAAAAATAAATATGTGATACATATAAGTATT